GGGCACTGGAACGGGGACCGGGGTGGGGACTGGGACGGGGGTGGGGGTCGGGACGAGCTTCGGGACGGGCACCTCGAAGGGCGTCGGCGTGGGCACAGGCACCTGCGGATGTTATGAGATAGTATCAGGGATGCGGGCCGTAGATGTTGATGCGCTCGAGCCGTCACGGGTGCGAGACGACAGCGGCGCGTTGAGGTTGATGCAGCAGGGGGCTCCAAAAGGCAGAGGGCCGGGGGCTTCAAACGGCAGCCCCGCGCCAAGGGCTTGCGCGGGGGGACGGGAGCGGTGGCCTCAGTGCACAGTGCGCACCGGGACCGGAACGGGGCTGGGGGTTGGCACGGGCAGTGCCACCGGGCTCGGGACCAGCACCTGTGCAGGCGGAGGGGATGAGGTGGGGGTCGGGTGAGAGGGCAAGAAAAACGCCAGTGGGGGACTGCCAGTACCAGGAGTAGGAGCACGGGCCGGGCCATTGCAATTGCTTTGTTTCTGCAAGCCGCGTCCAGCTGCCCGCGCATAACCCATGGCAGAAGGGGATGCGGCGGGCGCCCTGGGTTGAAGTGGTGGCGCTGTTCGAGCCAATGCGAGAGGCTGCGGCGCGCCCGCCCGCGGCTCACCGGGACCGGCGTGGGCACGGGCACAGGCACAGGCGTCGGCACGGGCACAGGCACAGGCGTCGGCACCTTTGACGAGCGGGTGTGCAGAAAGGGGCCCGGGGCGTGAACGGCGTCAGCTCGACGCGCGCGATCTGCAGAGCTCCCGGCCCATCAAGCCGATATCAATTGCCGCTTGGTGGGCCGCCTTTCTGCGTCGGCCCTCCAAGAAGGAGGCTGCCGCCGCGCCAAGCGGCCCGCCTGTGCGCCCCAGGCTTTTGGAGGGTCCGCGCTGGCGCGTGTGCTTTTGGTCTGTCGCTGTTAGGTATCTGGCAAAACCCTGTTTAGCTTGATCCAGATTGCAGTCCCATGGATCTCTCCGAAATGACTGTCCTTCATACACAGCCTCTGATGAGGCCAACCCCCGAGCGCCAGCCCTGACGCCCTTTTGGGGCCCCCATACCCCGCCCCCTCACCGGCGACGGCGCGGCGGGCAGCGGCACTGCGGCTACGACCTTCTTCTCCTCGCACTTCTCAGTCCCCCAGATGAACTGCACCGCCGGGCCCGCGCAGCCGGCGCCGTAGAAGCCCTTGAGGGCGAAGAGCTCGAGGCCGCCGGGCGCGGTGAAGGAGACGGCCTTGGCGACCGGCTTGCCAACCTGGACGGACCGGACGCCGTTTGTGGAGATCTTCAGGTACTCGACGCAGCTGCGGGGACGAGGGAGAAAGAGAGTGTGTGTGTGAGTGTGTTTATGAGAGAGAGAGAGTGTGCGTGTGTTTACTTGTGTGTGTGTGTGTGTGTGTGTTTGTGTAGGGGGTTGGGAGCTGAAGTGTTTGTGGGGGGGGGGGGGGTCAGAGCGGTTGTGTTGTGACAAATGTCAGGGGTGCTTGATCCTGGCACAACCCTCTGCGCGCGGCCGCAAGCACCACCTGCCGCCCGCCTCCCGTCCGCCCCAGCAGAGGGCGCCTCTGCGGCCACGCCATTCGTCGAAGTACGGCTCGACCCTGCCCCCGCTCGCCGCTCGCCGTGACCCCCTAGAATGACAACATCAATAATACAGCCCCTTGCACACCACCCCTGCGTGCGCCAGATCAATTCGGATCAGATCAAATCAGATCGTATCGAATATCGCCCGCCCGTCTGTCGGCGCACCCGGTGCCTGCGGCCTCGATCTTAGTGAGGAACTCCCCGCTGGCCGGGTAGATCGCCAGGGTCTGGCCGCGGCCCGTCTCGCGCCCCAGCAGCTGCGCGCCGTCGGCTGTGTAACCATAGGTCGGCTGTTTTTGAAGGGAGTGAGCGCGGTGGTTTCGGGGGTGTTGAGAGCCAGGGGTGGGGGTTACGTAAATGGGGTGCTTGATGGGGGCGAAGGGGGAGCGGCGTGCGGAAAGGAGAGTGGGAGAATGGCGGGCTGGGCGTGGGCCGCACTGCGCCTTCCCTGCTGGTTTTGCGCTCGCCAACAGCGGCGCATCGCGTGCGTTTGCGGAGTTGTCTCCCGGCTTCAAAAGCAAGCAGGCCGGAACCATGTGCCAAGGCGCGTGCATCCAACCCCAAAGAGCGCGGCGCACGGCCCGCAGACTGAGCTGCACCCGACGCAGTTCAGCGGCGCCGCCTGCTGCCGCACGCCACGCGGCATCGCCCCACCCCCTCCCCACCTACCGGTC